ATCAAGTTCTTTATTACTGACATTGAGCCTTTTCTGTTTAATTTGCATTGCATAGTTATATTTAAGCTTTTTTAAGCTCCAATATTCCTCCTCTTCTATTGCTCTCTTCTTCTGAAATGGAGGGAATAAGGCACACTCCAAAGGAACATTACTTTGGACCATCAGCCAGCAGAGCAGCTTCTTATAAAATAGCTCTGTTGAGGGCCGGCCCGGTGGCGCACTGCGCTATGCGCCGCTTGGGAAGCGCGGCGGCGCTCCTGCCGAGGGTTCGGATCCCACGTGCAGACCGGTTCCCGCTCACTGGCTGAGCGAGGCGCGGGGGCAGCACCGAGGGTTGCGATCCCGTTGCCGGTCCCGGTCCGGTACGGGGGCGACACTGAGGGTTGCGAACCGTTGCTGGACACGGAAAAAGACAAAAAAAAAAATAGCTCTGTTGAATGACATAGAAAAGAAAGTCTTTCATGATTTAACTCAGTGGGTCTCAATCTTAGCTGCACATTAGAAGTATCTAGAGATTTTAAAAAATAATGCTAATACCTGGGGTCCGTACCTAGAGATTATGATTTAGTTGGTCTAGATTGGAGCCTGGGAAGCTGCTATTTTTTTTTTTCTACAGGTGATTTTAATATGCAGCCAGGGTGAAAAGTTAAAATGAATGGTCTAGGAAAGTGTGGTATAATATGAAATATATTTGGTCCCCAGTTCTTGTCAGAGAGCTCCTAAAACCCTTGAAATTGTCTAAGTGATAGAAGTGTCTTGTTATTCAAAATCAGCACCTTTGATCCTGAGTTTATGCTAATGAGGTTACAGAGGTGGAGCCTCTAGATTGCCTCAGGATGGGGCCACTTAACAGAAAAACAAAGTGCTTAGAGAATTAGAGGGTTGGAACTTTCAGCCCCACCTACTGACCTCTGGGAAGCGGGAATAGGCTGGAGATTAAACTCTATAAAAACTCTTAAACGGGCCGGCCCGTGGCTCACTCAGGAGAGTATGGTACTCATAACACCAAGGCCACGGGTTCGGATCCTATATAGGGATGGCCGGTTAGCTCACTGGCTGAGCGTGGTCCTGATAACACCAAGCCAAGGGTTGAGATCCCCTTACCGGTCATCTTTAAAAAAAAAAAAACCTCTTAAACAACATTAGGCGAGCTTCTGGTTGCTGATAATGTAGAGGTGCTGGGAGGGTGGCTTGAGCAGAGAGGGCACAAAGGCTGCCCCCACCCCCACCTTACCCTATTCATCTCTTCATCTGGCTGTTCATCTGTATCTTTTGTAATATCCTTTATAACAAGTTCTGTGAGCCATCCTAGGAAATTAATAGAACCCAAGGAGGGGGTAATGAGATTCCTGGTTTCTAACAAGTTGGTGAGAAGTATAGGTGACAACCCTACTACTTGTGGCTGGTGTCTGAAGTGGGGGCAGTCTTGTGGGACTGAGCCTTCAACCTGTGGGATCTGATGCTATCTCTAGGTATCTAGAATTGAATTGAATTATAGGATACCCAGCTGGTGTCCACTGATTGCTTGTTGTTGGGGGAAAACACCCACACATCTGGTCACAGAAGCTTTGTGTGTTAAGTGTGAGAATAGAGAGAAAAAAGTTTGTTTTTTTCCTTCAGAATGTTATCCCACCCCCCACCCTCAATCTGTTCATCTGAGTTCCTACAAGTCTTCCCCCAGGTACCCTTGCTCCACTTTTTGGAATTGCCCAAACCTGTCATGCCTCTATCCTTCCCTTATTTTGCCCTCATGCCTGGAAGCCCCAGGTCCAACCCACTAATCAGGAGAACCAGTACCCACCAAGCCTCAGCTCCAGCAAATGGCTTCCCTAATACCTCCCTAAAGTTTTTTGTTGTTCCTTACCTAGTTCTTTGAGCATATCTATGCTATATTCTTATCAGGATATATTTAAATTGTTTGAGGACATACATACCCCTCCACTAAGCTGAGCTAATTGAGAGCAGTGCTGTGTTTTATTCATCTTGTAGTACCTAGCACTAGAGAACTCACATTCTTGGTCAAGTAAACAAACATACAAAGCTGGCCATCATATACAGACTATGCCTGGAATTTGTGAAATCTAGTATTTTTCATTCAAAGAATTACCTATTGCTTGCTATAGAGTAATAGCAAGCAATACCAAGGTCAAGGGTTTGGTTCCCTATACCAGCCAGATGCCAAAAAATAAATAAATGAATCCTCCAGATACTTTTGCTCTTAGAATCTGCATACTTCTCATGTCTTGGCCCACAGAAAAGAATCCTGGCTAAAAGATAAAAGTCTGGTCTCCCAGCTGACCCAGGGTGAGCTGTGTCACCTAACCCTAACTCATTTAACTTCTCTGGTCATCGGATTCCTCATTTGTAAAATGCAGATCACTAAGGCCCTTTCCATTGTGAGCTAAGCCATATATAGGAGGGGTTCATACTCTTCTTCAAGTGGCACTTGGAGATTGTTTCCTTCTTTGAAAACAAAGTGGTGGGGGCCAGCGCGGCCTGTGGCTCACTCAGGAGAGTACAGTGCTGATCCCGGGTTCGGATCCCTATATAGGCATGGCCAGTTAGCTGACTGGCTGAGCGTGGTGCTGACACCACCAAGCTAAGGGTTAAGATCCCCTTACCGGTCAAAAAAAAAGAAAACAAAGGGGTAGGAGGGGCAGTGATATATAAGAAACTGAACACATCAAGTTTTACTATTGTTTTAATTAGCAAAAAAAAGAAATCAAAATATGCACAGTCATGTTTCACTTAACAGATGCAAGCACTAAATATGAATTTTATATGACAAAATGTTTTATCCATTATAACAAAATTCCAATAATGTTAATAATAGTTCTAAAATTTTTCCCCAAATTCTAAGCAGAGTATGCAAATTGGAAGTTACTTTTGAGCATGCATAACTATCTTATTATTCAGCTTTATGTGCAGAAAAGATTGAAGAGTTTAGATTTGACCAAGATGCGGATGCTGGACAAGAGAATTCTTTCCTCCCCACCTGTAAGTTGCCAGTCCTCTTAGCACTAACTGCCCAAACACCCCAAACATGGAGACAGCTCCCAAACGATAATTAAAAACATCATGGTGCTGGCCATGGTGAGACCACGGTGCTGGTAACACAGAGGTCACGGGTTTGGATCCCCTCAGCAGTCGCCAAAAAACCCCCAAACAATCAAAAAACAAGAGCGGTAAAGATCATGAAGCTTGTGTTAACATCATTATTACTTCCTTTATTTTATCCCTAAGGCATAGAAATATATCATTATTAAAAATGTATATCTGGAATTAGTCCAGACCAAATGAGACATTTTCAAACCTGGAAAAAAAAAAAAAAAAAGGTTAGCAAATGCATTTATTTTGTTTGGATTACAAATCTCAACATCTAACTTCCGCTGCGCTGCGTAGATCACCTTTTTAAGAGAAGTAACTACAGACAACTCTCCAAACCCATTATAAAGAGCTTATCTCATTAGTTTATCCCATTGGTGCTCCCAAAACCCTAGAGGAAAGAAAGCTGGTATTCAGGTTCCGGTCCTGCCTCTATCATTTAGTAGCTGTGTGACTGCGCAGATCATTCAATCTTTCTGATACTCATTCAAATCAATGTACCTGTCTTACAATGTAACAGAAGATTTGAATGGATTTTCAGCATTGAGGTACCTTGGGCAGTAGAATTTCATCAAAAAGTTGTGTTTTTTACCTCTGGACTCCAACTAAAGGTGCAAAGAAGTCCAAACTTCTCCCTTTTTCCTTGTCGATAGATACATCTATTATAGTAACTTTACCTCGAGTTATAACAATCTGACTCTATTTCTCTCCCCTAGTGGACTGGAAGCCTCTAGAAGGCAATCACAGTGCCCACACACTGAGGCTGAAGAAGAGAAAGAATCGACGACTGCAGAAGTGTCACTCCTCTCTTCTAGCTGAAGAATAAAGCAACACTATGCAAAGAAAGAGTGGTTCATTTTTGAAGGCCCTATTCTCAGCAGAGATGCCCAATGTGGAAACAGCACGAGAAAGACCAAACCCTTGCAGGTGGTGTGGGTAACCGGCTGCCTTCACATCCCAGCACACCACACTGCCAGCTCCTCTGCCCTCCTTTAGAGGATCAGTGATGCTGGCAGAGCCACACCTAGGGCCACACGCCTTCTTCATCCACTCCACAGGAGAAGGGAATGTAAGTCATAGGATCTTTCTGCCTTGCTGAAATGCTACCTTGATTAACGTCCACTAAACAGTGAGGATTATCATGTTAGAGCTGTTTATAAGTAGTCCCCAGGATAGTGAAACAAAAAAGTGAAAGAAAAAACATTTTCTTAAGGTCAGAAACCCACCTCCGTGATGCTGGTTAGATGTCTCGATCTATGAAAAAGAAAATGGAGAAAGAAATAGAAAAACATTAAGTTTTACTTTTAAAACATTATGTACTAACAAATGTCTAAAACTGTTACAAATAAGGCTTGCAGAATAGGCTGCTCTTCCTAACCATGAATACCTTGTTTAGAACTACCCAGTAGGGGCTGGCCATTTGGCTCAATTGGTTATACTGTGTTGTTGATAACACCAAAGTCAAGGGTTCAGATCCCCATACTAGCAAGCTGCCCCAAAAAATAAATAAATAAAAATATAACTACCCAGTACAACCTAACCCTGCCTAATAGCCTCAGATCCCAACCCAGCCAGAGAGTACTAGAGGAGTCCAGGACCGTAGGGTGCCGGAACAGCAGGCCTTACAGACAAAGGCCCATGCCTTGGGATGCTCATTGGTGCTAAGTACACGTGAGGCTGCCAGGAAAGCCAGAGGAAGCTAGCAGGTAACAAGCATTGGGAGGGCGTGTGCATTTGTGCAAGTGCTGCTGCTGCTTCCTGCTCTCAACTGCGGGGACACTACTGGTTCGGGGACCATGCTGTACAGAGACCTCTCAGCAGGTGCAATTCATCAGAGCTTTAAGAACATTCCCTAACAATCCCAGTATACAGATTTTTTTTATATAAAAGCAACTTTATGCTGTGACTCTACTCAGATACAACCTTTGGCAGCTAAGGAGGAAAGAACTTAAAAACTTACCCCATTTAACTGTCTTGGGTTCCGAAAGAGTTCCATGTGTCACACGGCAGGCGTACTCATCTTTTTCATTGGGGGTGAAATCAGTGTGGACCAGAAGATAGAAAGACCAGTCCTTGCTGAAAGACAGGTCTGACTGCTCCACTTTTTCTATCTTCACTCCGTTCTTCAACAAATCAATCTGAATCTGGGGTGGATGAAATCCAGACACATAGCAGTTGAGGAAATTTGGCTTCCCATTTTCTGCTGGGTGACGTGAGTAAACTTGGATCTTTGGAGAACCTGAGGAACATCAGGGAAAGACAAATGAAAATTGCCAGAGTATTTCACTTATTTTTTGTAGCAGATTGCCAGCTGTTTTCTTCTGTCACTGAAGATTGTGCTGAATTTTTAAAAACCTGTCTCTGGAGGCTCTCAAGAACCTTCGACATCTTCTCAGCACCCAGATTTGACTCCAACCTACTTTTCAAACTTCATTTCTCACATTGCACATCCTCCATAGAAACCACATCAAATTACTCATGATACTGTACCCTGCTTCAGCCCCTTCAATATTTTTTCTTATGTTTATTCTCTTCTTTTTGGTTCCTGCTCCTGCCTAAATCTACACCATCTGACTTCCTAATATGAATTAAGTGGCTAATACAGTGACTGACCCACAATAATTGTTCTATAAGTGGCAGATGTTATTATTACCTCCTTGCTTAGGTTCATATGTGGGTCAACCCAAGGTTATGTTCCCACCAAACAGAACCCCTTTATTCCTGCCCGGAGTTTAAATGCCAAATCTCTATTTGATTTTGTACCTGATTTTGTGAGCTAGAAAACAAAGAAAGAAACAAAACCTAAATGCCTAGAAGAGCTGGAAAATGCCTTAATGACTGGGTCAGGCTGGATCAAATAAAATAGGGAGAGGTGAGGTCTGTAGCAAATAGGAAAGAACATACTCTCTATTATGACTAAATGGAATAATGTATGTGAGAGTAGGATTTGCATTTTTAATTAGCACCCTCACGTAATTGCTGTAACTAGCCAGGGTGGGAATACATTGCCTAATGCTACAGAACAGTGGTTTCCAAAGTGGGTGGCATGACTAGACCATCAAAAGGGAAGTGGAAAGAAAATATTATAAACTCTATTTCCGTATTTCCCATCCAGAATGAAAGCAAATGTTACTGCTACTAAATAGACAGACTGACACTAATACATACATATAATTTGTTCTTTTTTTAATTTTTAATTTTTATTTTTTGGGCAGTTTGTCAGTATGGTGTAATTTGCTTTTAAACACATATATGCAGTGTACATGATCACTAAAGGGCAGCTACTACTCCATGCTGTGGCTTGATTGAATTGTGTTTCCCAAAGTCCACATATTGGAAGCTTAATCCCCGTTGTAACTGTTGAGGGTAAGAAATCCTATTATGGTAATTGAAAGGTGGTGCCTTGAAAGGGTGATTAGATTGTGAGAACCATGCCATAGTGAATAGGTTGATAATGATGGTCAGGGATGTGGTTCTGAGTGCCTTAAAAGGAGAGCATGTGAGAGTCTCTCTTTCTGCTTCTGCCATCTTGCAATGTGATACCCTGTGTCACTGAAGCCACCATTAAGGAAGTCCCTCACCAGATGTGTTCCCTAGACGCTGGACTTCCCAGCCACTGAAACCGTAAGCAATAAATTTAGTTTTCCTACAAATCACCTAGTTCCAGGTATTTTGTTATAAGCAACAGAAACAGACAAATAAACTCCATGTCAGGGAGGTGGTGGGGAGGGAGAAGGAGTATCAGGCTACCCTAACCAGATGTATCTGTCTAGAAACACCCTATCATTAAAGGCAAGGTCACCAGCCCCACCAAGAACTGGACTTCCCATTGAAGCCCTGATTTTTTCCTTCATAAAGTTAAAAGTGAAAATAAACCAGAGAGCTCATTGCATTTGAGCTTCTAATAAGAACATAATAAATGCCACAGGATAACACCAAGGTCAAGTGTTCAGATCCCAGTACCAGCCAGCCACCAGATTAATTAATTAATAGCACAGAAGTCAGAGCATAGGTTCATCCTCCCTGGGATTCTCTCTTTGAGGGAGGCAGGCAAGATTTTGCAAGAATATCACCATAATTTTTTCTAAAAGAAAGATGAGTATCAGACAGGCCGGGTTTAAATCTGGGCTCAGCCACTTACTGGCTCTGTGACTTTGGGAGAGTTATTTAAGCTTTGGAAGAGTTATGAAGCTTAACTGAAAAATTAATTTATGCCCACAGTAAAACAATACAGGGGCTGGCCAGTTAGCTCAGTTGGTTAGAGACTGGTGCTGGTAACACCAAGGTCCAGAGTCAACCCCTGTACAGGCTGCTCACACAGATAAAGGGGGAAATTGATCCCCAGAGGCAATCACTGTTGCGTGCTTCTTGTATATCTTTGGCATGTGTTACTTTGGAAATTTTCAAAATAAGATTTTTTTAAATGTCAAATTGTTATTTTAAAAATTGACATCTATCATCATCAGCAAATAACAATAATGATGATATATACATTATCTTTACTTTGTAAATAAATTGTATTCAAATTAAATGCCATTTTCTCACGATCAAAACACTGCTTCACAGGGGTTTTTTGAGGGGAATAGATGAGAGGGCCAAGTATATCGCTGGCTATTTAGAAAGCTCTCAAGATCTTTGGCCTCCTCTACAGTATTGGAAACCATCTTGGATTACTCTTATCTCTGGTTTTACAACTTCCCTGACTTTGACAAATCTTCATTTTTTCAAAACTGAAAGTAGAGGCTCCATACATCTTGGAAAGAACCAGGCAAGATGCCAGAGAAGCCCTGTGAAGGAAAGGCAACAGGGGCCCGGGGCCGCCCAGCTTGCTCGGGAGAACTTCACCTGGGAAAGTAAGGAAGTGTGTTTCTGAAAAAAATGCACCGATTACAGTCAAAAGGCCTACGCTCTTGCAAAAGGCCCGGGTCGGGCTCGATTTCAATCCCGATTGTCTGCCATTTATCCCGTGTATGATTAAGTTACTTAATATCTCGGTGCCTCAGTTTCCTCATCTGTGATATGTGATTAATAACTATAATCTTTACTTTCTAGGCACATTTTCAGAATTAAATGACATAAAACACGTAAAGTCCTCAGCATACAGTAAGCAGTCAGTAACAGGTCCCTCTTATGATTATTATTAAGAGTGACTTGTGGGCCGACCCCGTGGCTCACTCGGGAGAGTGCGGCGCTGGGAGCGCAGCGGCGCTTGGAGCGCCGAGGCCGCGGGTTCGGGATGGCCGGTGCCACGCTCACTGGCTGAGCGCGGTGCGGACGACACCAAGCCAAGGGTTACGATCCCCTTCCCGGTCACACACACACAAAAAAGAGTGACTTGTAATGGGAACAAGCGGGTTAATGGTGCGCAGGCGCTCTGTCACACTGCGAAGCATTCTACAAACTCCGCGTGCTGTTCCCTCGCCACGGTTTGGTTCCACATAGATCGGGTGGTGCCGAGGGGCAGGCGAACCTGGCAGGGGACCAGACGAAGCCCGCAGCCCTCCCGGTTCCAGGAAAGGAGAGTTGTCCGTGACAACCCGGGCTGTGTCTCCCATGTCTCCACTCATTCACAGCCCTCGACTCCGCGCCTTTGGGTTGAGCCTGCCCGCCCTCCCCTCCCGCTGCGCTCCGGGAGCCCGAGGCCCCGCGAAAGGGCGGAAGAGAAACCCTCCCCCACTTTGGCCGCCCCGCAGCTCATCAACACCCCGAAAGTTTGCCCCGACCCACCCTGCGCCAGAAGACCAGAGATCTACCCCGCTCCCCGCGGAAAGGAGCAAGAAGCGTGCGTCCCAAGTCTGCACACCCTCCTCATTCCCCGGCCACTCCGCTGCTTCCCCAGAGACCCAGCCCTGCGCAATCTAGCCGCCGGGAAGAACTTGGGGGAGGGGTCACAGAGTCGGAGAGAGCCGAGAGGGGGATGACTGGTTAACTTAGTTGGGTAGAGCGCGGAAAGTCAAAGGTTCGGGTCCCTGTCCCCGCCAGCAGCCAAAAAAAAAAAGAGCGCCCAGAGGGCCAAAGAGTGTTGGCGGCGGGCGAGGAAGGGCTAGCAGAGGAGGGGACACTCACGCGGCACACAGTCCAGGCCCGGCAGGGAGAGTAGCGCGAGCACAGTCAAGACCACGTAGCGCGACATTGCTGCTCCACAGCGGAGTCCAACGCAGTACTGCCCTCCCGACCCCGCGCGCCTACTTATATTCCGAGCGCCACCGCCAATCAGGACCCGGCCCGCGGGAGCCGTCACCCGTCTCCTAGCGCGCAACGGCTGGCCAGGTTAGACAGAGGGACTTTCCCGCTTTCAGTTTCATTTTCTATAAAGTCGCGTGATGCTTAGGAGGCATGGGCTGGGCTGGGTGAGCTCGATGTTTGTAAATCGGCGCCCTACGATCTGTGGTGCGAACACCGGGCTGGCGCGCGGGCCGCTCATTCTAGGACCGCAGGCTGGAAGCAGCTTCATCCAGTACCCTCGCTTTGCAAACTGGCCCCAGAGATGCTAAGTGACTTGCTAACCGCGCCCCAGCCAGTTAAAGGCTTAGGACCTGAGGTCTTCATTCGAGAAAATTGAAGCCCATAAAGATTAAGAGAGTTGAATGGTGCCGGGCAGAACTAGAATTTAGGTTTATAACTACAGCCCGGGAATACGCTGCAGGGTTTCTAGATTCTGTGGGCGAGAAAAGCAGAACCAGCAACCTCGGGGCTTTCTGAGGACAGCTCAGAGAACCATCCAGAGTGAATGAGGATCTTATTTGCTTCTTGAATCCCTTCAGAGATAAATTTCTTTTGAGGAAGTTCTGTGCCAATAAGTTCCTCCCTGTATCTTCCCGCTGTTGTTTAGGTAATTTTATTTGTTCTGTTGATTTGTGGGGAAAAGACCACTGGCAGTAAAGCAGTAACTGCTTAGGGATTTAGTTTCCAGAGCCCTTTTGCCACATCATTCCCTTCGCCTTACCACCCTAGAACTGTGCCCGGCGCATAGTAGGTACTCGGTGAGCTGAATGAGTGAATACATGGATAAACTCTAGGAGACAGGAATTACTCCATTCATTTTATGGATAGAAAAAACAAGGCAGAGAGGCTAGGATTCAAACTCTGGCCTAATTCCATTGGCATTCCTGCTTTAGACACTGGGAAGGCAAAGGCTCTGCAATTTTAGTGAGGGTTTGAATTGCGTCTGCCCCAGGCCCAGCCAAGGAAGTTAAATGCACTGACTCTAAGAGTGTGACAGTGACAGGCAAACTCACTAAGAAAACCTACCCTCTAAAGTTACCATAAATAAAGTGCTGTCATTACAAGGTAGCCGGTAGCCGAGTCCACAGGTCTTTTCTGAGCGGGACAATGAGAAGAGGAAGTAGACCATGGGGGCCGGGATGGGCAGTGGTGTTGGAAATCACGTGGTTTTCAGTTGAAGGGAGTTCCATCGTGTTTCCCCAAGGAGCACAACAACTACCTTCTAGGTTTCTTCTACATATTTTTAGACTTAATAACCGCTATTGTGGAGGCCATATCTAAGCTAAACAAAGCAGAATACTCTCCACTGACCTAATGAAATGAGATAATTCACAGAGAGCCTCGTACAGTGCCTAGCACATAGTAAGTGTTCTATAATGTTTAAGTGCTATAATTATTAATATTATTTACCTAGTTTTTACACCAGCCCTTTCTATAACCCTGAGATATAAGAATAATTATTATGCTTAAAGTTATGAGTTAAGACACTTCTGTCCCACCCCCACTTTTTTAGAACTCATTTAAGGCTCTTAAAGCCTGAAATGTTGGGCCAGCCTGGTGGCGCACTGCTCCAGTGCGCGCCGCTTGGGAGCGCGGCGGCGCTTCCTGCCGAGGGTTCGGATCCCACATACAGACCGGTTCCCACTCACTGGCTGAACGAGGTGCGGGCGCGACATTGAGGGTTGCGATCCGTTGCCGGACACGACAAAAAGGAAAAAAAAAAAGCCTGAAATGTTAGGGTTGAATTGTTTTCTAGTGCCCTAAGAGTATATAGGAAGAGACAGGGCTATTTTTGCCTCAAATTTCCTATGTACTACACTAAACAAAATAGAAATATTACACTTAAAATTCCTTAAAGATAGATTCTGACTTATTCACTTACAAAACTAATTCAAAAAGCAATAATAATTTAAAAAAAAAAAACAGTGAAGGCTGGCTAGTTAGCTGAGTTGGTTAGAGCAAGGTGTTGATAACGGGAGGGTAAAGGGTTCGGATCTCTATAGCCACCAGCCGCCAGGAAAAAAAAATGCAGTGAAGACAGAGAAAAGTATATTTTTCGGTTTTCTCTGTGTGGGGAACTCCTGTATTTTTCTTGTATTCCCATTTATGACATGTTTTGAATAGTGAGGGTGAAATGAGATATGAGACTTTTTTTCAAAAAACAAGAAGATTGGGCCGGCCCGTGGCTCACTCGGGAGAGTGCGGTGCTGATAACACCAAGGCCGCGGGTTCGGATCCCATATCGGGATGGCCGGTTCGCTCACTGGCTGGGCGTGGTGCTGACAACACCAAGTCAAGGGTTAAGATCCCCTTACCGGTCATCTTTTAAAAAAAAAAAAAAAAACAAGAAGATTGGGCCGGCCCGTGGCTCACTCGGGAGAGTGCGGTGCTGATAACACCAAGGCCGCGGGTTCGGATCCCATATCGGGATGGCCGGTTCGCTCACTGGCTGGGCGTGGTGCTGACAACACCAAGTCAAGGGTTAAGATCCCCTTACCGGTCATCTTTTAAAAAAAAAAAAAAAAAAAAAAACAAGAAGATTGTTTACCTAGAAGCGCAAACTTTGGAAATCTGCAATCATGACAAATTAACAGTGTTATTTCTGAAAATAAATAAATAAAACAAACAACAAAAAATAAAAGTGTTATTTCTCAATAGTGGAATTAACAGATGGCTTTTTTTTCTATATGATTTTCCCCCCAAAATTTTTACAGTGAACATTTATTAAAAATAGTAAATGTTGGCAAAAGTAGTGGAAGAACTGGAACTCTCATACTCTCCTAGTGGGAATGTAAAATGGTACAAACACTTTAGAAAACAGTTTGACAGGCTTTTTTTAATGTTAAACATACACTGACCATAAGATCTAGCCATTTCACTCAAGGTATTTGCCCAAGAGAAAATGAAAGTTTATGTCTGTACAAAGTCTTATACACGAATGTTCAAAGCAGATTTGTAATAGCTGAAAACTGGAAACAATCTAAACATCCAGTCTAAACAGGTGAATGAATAAACACATTGTGGTACATGTTCATACAATGGGCATATAACAACAAATAAGGAATGAACTATTGATACACATGACATGATGATAATAATTATGTTGAATGAGAGGAGCCAGACAAAAAAGAGTATATACTGTTTGATTCTGTTTATATAAAACTTTAGAAAAGGCAAACTAATGTATAGTGACAGAAAGCAGATGAGCAGGTTCCAGGGTTCGGGAAGAGCATCAGAAGCGTGAGGAAACTTTGGGGGTCATAGATATGTTCCTTATCTTGAGTTTGTTGATGGTTTCATGAGTGTATACATGTGCTAGAATTTATTAAATTGTATACTTCAAGTGTAATTTATTGTATGTCAATTATAACCGTTTAAAAAGACAAACCCTAAAAGCACAGATACCTGTATTATTGTCAGATTAAAAAAAAAAATGAAGTATTTGAACAGAAAGAAAAAGAAGGATATTGAAGTGGGGAGAAAACAGGAATAAGTTAAAGCTCAAATGAGTTGGGTTGCACCTGAGTGGATCTCAGCAATTTTCTGAGACAGGCTCATCCAAACAGCCGGAAGAGCCAGGACCACTAGAAATGAGAGATACAAGTATTTATAGGGTATTTGTACCGGACTCTTTCAAATGTGATGTCATGAATCCCTTGCTATTCATAATGTGGTCCATGCATTACTAGCATCAACATTGTGTAGGAGCTCTTACAAACGCAAACTCTTGGGCCCATCCTAGACCGCTAAATCAGAATCTGCATTTTAACAACAACCCAGGTATTCATATACACATTAAAGTGAGAAAAGCTGTGACCCAAACTACACAACAATCTAGAAGGTAGATGTTATTTTTATTTACAGATAAGGAGACTGAGACTAAGGTAAAATACTTGCCCAAGATCACAATGAGCTGGGATTCAAACACTGGCCCATCTGATTCCAAAGGCCTCATCCTTTCCATTTAGAAAAATTACTTTGAGGGCCGGCCTGGTGGCACACCGGAGAGTGCGCCGCTTGGGAGCCCGGCGGCGCTCCCGCCGAGGGTTCGGATCCCATGTGGAGACCAGTTCCACTCACTGGCTGAGCGTGGTGCGGGCGCAACAACGAGGGTTGCGATCCCGTTGCCGGTCAGTAAAAAAGACAAAAAAAAAGAAAAAAGAAAAATTACTTTGAGCACTTTCTGCAAAGGGGTTCATAAGAAGGAGTAACTGGTGGATCAGAGACCAGGGCAAGGATTAGAAGCATATGAGAAGGTGATGGCAGGTAGATAAACAGGAACCAGCTCAAGATGTGTGGTATTTTTTTTTTTTTTTTTTGTCAGTTGGCTGGTAGAGGGATCAAACCCTGGACCTTGGTGTTATCAGCACCACGCTCTAACCAACTGAGCTAACCAACCAGCCTCTTAATTTTTTAGCTGACATTTATTTTTTTCTGTCCATAAAAGCAATATATTAACTTGATAAAAAAAAAACTGGAACATACTAAAAACTATAAAGAAGAAAATTAAAATCACAGGTAATACCCAGAGATAACCATTGTTAAATGGTATAATTTAAGGAGTTTGAAGATTGTTGCCTGCTCAAAAATAGCTCTGTTTGGGGGCTAGAAATCTTCAGTCTTTTGTGTTAATTCTATTAAACTCAGCAAATGTTGGTTTGTAAGATTTGGGATGAATCCCAAATCTTACATAGAACGGGAATACTCGCCTCGAAGAGACCACAAGACCACGAGCACTGCAATTAGCAAGAGGTTTATTATTTCCAACGCGTTGGGTTCTCACCGCCAAGCTGGGGTGAGACCCCGTTAGGCTTTTTAGCTGTCTTTTTATACATTTTTTAGGGGCAACTTTTAAACACTTGGCCATCTGCTGGTTTGACTTAGCTATGTAGAGACATAAAATCAGCTAAGTACTTCTGTACCTCATAGCTCTGTGGTTACAAGCCTGTGCCTGTGTTAGCAAG